CCCGCCCATCTTCCCGAGAGGCCCCCAGGAAGCGCAGGGGCGGGCCGGGCCCTTCAACGAGCTCGGAAAGGATGGTTTTCCATCGGCCTCCTTGGTTTCCTCCGGGAGATCTCTGGCTCTCTGGGATGTTCGGGGAAATGTGGCCCATCGCCGCGGGGGGCTCGTCGGAGAAGTCGAGCTCGCCGCCTGCGATGGCGAAGCTCATTGCGAAGTCTCGTCGAAGTCTCCTCTGGCCTAGCGAGGCGCTTCGGCCGCGGGCGCTGAAGAGGGGGGCCGGCGCGCCGCCAGGGGGCACAACTCGAACATTCAACGCGCGGGCCCAGGCCGACTCGTCTGCGACAGCCTCGGGCCGCCCGTCGACGCCGCGCGTCCTCTCGAAATCTGGCAGGGTGGCGATCGCGCCGCTGGCAGCGTGAGACGAGGGGGGCAGAGAGACCTTGGCCTGGAGCGGGCAACTCACGCGGTGGAAGATGTCCTGGATTCCACCGATGGCACCGCGCGTTTCCTGGATCCCGAGGGTGGCTCCATGGGGGAGCAACGACTTCAAACGCTGAAACTTCAAACTTTTCCCGCGGGCTTGCGACGGGAGAATGCCCGGGCTTCCCGCTGCCAGACGGAGGAGGGGGGGTGGCCGAAATAAAGGAAAAGCTCCATGCCGAGAGCAAGTGGACCCCGCCACACTGCAGACTCTGGCGGCCGCGCGTGCCTGGAGACAGCCTGCTCGATAATCTCGCGGCTAAATTGGAAATGGCCGAGGTTGCCGTCGGCGCATTCGATTGGCCAGCACATCGTCGCTCTGCTTCGGGGTGCCTCTGACCAAAAGCTTCTGCTGTGTAGACACCTCCCGTGTGGCCCTGTTGATGTGAAAATTAGTTTCTGGGCTTGCGTTCGAGAGGGCGCGCGTGATTTGCTCGGCGAGGATATTCCCTTTGACCTGGGCTGGAGACTTGTCTGACGAGACGTGCACCTCGCGCGTCGCACCCATGGTACCTGCCGTCGTAAGCTTCTGCCACTGTTGCGCACTGATATTGAAACTGCTGGGATCTGGAAGACGTTCCTCGCGGCGTATGATGGGATGCCTGCAAAACGTTGCGCGAACCGCTTGCCTGCGGCATCGCCTTCGAGAGAGGCTACGGTGCACGTGAGGTTGCTGCGCTCGAGGACCGGCTTGACCACGGAGGCGGCAGCTGCATCTCTGGTGAAGAAGCCTTTGGTCCTGAGAGTGAGGATCGTGGGATCAGGGGCTCTGTCGAACTCTCCTGTTTTGTCTTGCTGGTTGGGGGTTCTTGCTGCATGACACTCAGAATCTCCTCAACCCGCTGCACCTTGGAGGATAACCGGTCCAATTCATACTTTTGCTCACGCCGATTTCGTTCAACTCCTGCCAGGCGGTGTTCCACCTGCTTGCTGAGGGAACCACACGCGTTGGAAACTGCACTCACGAAGCTACCGACGGACGACTGGCCCGCGCTGATGTGTGTTGAGGAGCTCGTTCTTGGAAGTGTCGGCATACTGCTTCGTGTCCGCCATGCTATCCTCCGCGTCGTGGAACTAACCTCCGCCTGGGGATCGGCTGCGACGGGCGGGGGGGGGAGTCGGGTACACGAGTCCAGGCGCGAGAGGGAGGAGCACAGCCGCCAGTGCCATCGCGCCGCGACCGCTTCTGAGAATGGAAAATCGCGAAGACATCCAGCGCCCCGGCCGTGTTCGCGCGCTCGCCGCCATGGCTCGTCGCTCGCTTTCGCTACACTTGTAGCGGGCTCCTGGCACAAATGCGTGGTGGGCGACGCACGGCCTCCTGAGGTCAGAAGCTGATTTGACAGCCAGCTTGAGCCAAAATAACTTGAGCCGAAATGGTTACGGACCCCCCTTCCTCCTCCTCCTCCTCCTGATCCTCCTCCTCCTCCTCCTCCTACTTCTCCTCCTACTCCTCCTCCTTTTCCTCCTCCTCCCCACTCTTTCACTTTCATCTCATCTCTCCTCGTCCTCCTCCTCCTCCTCCTCCTCCTCCTCCTCCTCCTCCTCCTCCATGATGTTGTTTGATGCTTTCTCCTCGTCTGACCAGCAAACGTGTCATGAAGACGGGCTTGGCGGTTCGCCTGAGACCCCCTCCCAATTTACGATCCCGCCGAAGCTTGAGCTCACCAGCAATCACACGGATGAAAGGGGTAATCTTCAAATGCGGCTCTCGCCTTGGCGCCGTGCGCATTCCTCTTAAAGCTTCCAACCGTTACACGGACGGAAGGGTGTCGTTTCCCCAAGCGGTTCTCACCATACTGCCGCACACATTCGTCTTATGAGTCTCAAGCAATTACATGGATGGATGGTGTAGTACGTGGCCTTCGCCTCAACGCCATGCGCATTCCTTTAAAACGCATCAGCCAGATACACAGGGAAGGGCGACCCCTCTTCAAAACAACTGTTTGACAGATCCTCAGCCCGAAGGGGGGCCTTCCTTTTGGGATATCGCCTGGAACTTCTTCAGGTACTGTGGCCAGCACGGGTTGAGGGCGCCCCTTTTCAAAGTAGGGTTGTCGCTGGACACATCCTTGCACTTCATGACCCCACCTCGTTGCCGTACTTCTGAGAATCCGCCGACCAACGCTTGCTGGAGGTGAAGAGGCGTGTCAGACATGTGGCGGTCCACCTCCCACTTTCCCCTCCCCTGGGGTCCAAAATGCTGTTCGAGGGAGGGGTAACAAGCTCCAAGACGCATCCCTAGGGCCTCCAGAGCTCCTCCAGAACCCCAGGACGGCGCATGAGGCCCGAAACAGATCGCCCAAACCGCCCAAGAAAGCATGAATATCGCCCAAGGTAGCCCAACTACGACGACCCTCAATGGATTCGAGACGGCTCACGAGGCGCCCAAGATGGCCCAAGAGTGCTCCCAGAGGACCGCCGAAAGGGCCCCCAGAAGCAAAAATCGGCCCATTCCCATAAAAAGAACTGCTAACGTTCAGCATACTCGCCTTCTTAAGCCTGACACCGTCAAAGACGGCCCAAGGGGTTCCCAAAATCGCTCCAAGACGGCCAATGCGGCCCCAAGAGAGCCCCATGACGGCCTACGAAAGCCCCAAGACGGCCGCAGGGGCCCCCCAGACGGCCCAAGAGAGCCCCCAGAGGGCGCTAAGAGGGGCCCAAGAAGAGGGATACGAGCTGACATGTCGAGCCTTTCTCCCCAAAATGGCCCCAAGAGCCCCCCGACGCCCCCGAGGCACCCACAAGAGGCCCCTACGGGGTCCCCAAGAAGCCCCCAGGAGGCCTCCAAGAAGAGGTCCACAAGGCCCCCCGGATGCCCCCAAGAGCCCTCCAAGATGCACCTGAGAGGCATCCAAGGAGTCCCTCTAATGCATTCAAGCTGCTCCTGACCCACCAGATAACTTCCAAGATAGTCGCAAGCACTCGCTCCTTCTGGCGGGTCGGCAGACACGGCGTAAGGCACTTGAGCCCTGAATGGGGGTATCGCTAGAATTGCAGGATCATGTGGCACCCGTAATTCAAGAAGCAATTCCCGCAGTGACGCGGAATTCCTGTATGGGCTTACGCTCAGGGGGATGGGCGGGAGTATTGCAGCATCGTTGGTGCACATTGGGTTTACTCCGGTCCTCCTCCACCTCCTCCTCCTCCTGTTTCCGCCCCCTCTTCCCCTCCTCGTACTCCTCCTCATCATTCCCCATTCTTTCCCCTCCTCGTCCTTCTCGTCCTCCCCCTCTTCATCCTCCACCTCCTCCTCCTCCTCCTCCTCCTCCTCCTCCTCCTCCTCCTCCTCTTCCTCCTCCTCCATTTCTAAGCTTTCTAAACCCCAGTGGGCAGGAATGGGTGCATCGACTCACTCAGCCGCCTATCCTCCACAGCAGCCTGGAGAGAGCGGGTAATGATGGATGAAAGGCAGGGGCAGCCCTACTACCGCTGCCGCCAATGCCGCTGCTGCTAGCACCTGCTCCGTGGGCCAGGATGTGCAGATGAGTCTTTGCATTGCACCCTGGAAGATCCCCTCTATTCAGCTTCCTCAGGTTGCTGTTCGGAAGGGAGGTGCAAGGATATCTCAGCTTAGTAGCTTTGCTTGCAGCAATGGCTCCGAACATGCAAACCAATACCTTGTCATCCAGATCCTCGCTTTCGTCGTCGTCGTCCTCCTGCTCCTCATCCTGTGAGGGGTGGAAGCGATGGGGAAGGATCAAGAGGGATAGCGAATGGGGGAAAGACGAAGGATGGAAGGATGGAGCGGAAGAGAGAGGGGCGAGGAAGGGACGCGAGAAGTGAAGGGGGAGAGGGGTGAAGAGTTCAAACATCGGGCCGGGCTGGTGGTGCTTATTCTCCCAGCTCCTCCTCTTTCTCCCTCTCCTTCTCCTCCTCCTCCTCCTCCTTCTCCTTCTCCTCATCCACCTCCTCCTCCTCTTCCTCCTCCTCCTCGCCCCTCCCTGCTGCTGCTTCTGCCTCTGCTCCCACCCCTATTTGCCGTCCCGCTCTCGCCCCAGCTCGTCGTCATCGGCGTCGTAATGGTCCTCTTCCTCCTCCTCCTCACCGTTGTCGCCCACGCCGCCGTCCTCGCCGTCGCCCACGTCGTAGCACGAAAGAAACAGGTCCCGAAGGAAACGGGTCCTGGACCCCGGGGCCTTCCCCCAGGACCAGCTCTTCGTCCTGAGCCGTCCTCTGACAGTCCCCAGGAGGCGAACAACGGGGAACACAACGCACGACCCCTCTCCCTCAGGTCGGCGGCGAGCGAGGGGGGAAATCAGAAGGAGAAGGCCTTCACAGAAGGTTCGGAAGTCCCCCGGTCTTCTGAGAATTCGAAAAGTTTTCTGAGCCTTCCCCGAAGATAAAAATCTTCTCAGAAAACGCGGGGGGCTTCTGAGAAGTCCCGCCGCCTTCTGAGAAAGCCATCTCCTTCTCATTTCCCTTCTCATTTCCCCCCCTCGCTCGCCGCCGACAAGGACCCACTTCCTTCTTGGCGACTCGTCGCCCTCGCCGCCGCAAAGAAAACGCCACGGGCGCGGCGCCCCGCAGCAGCAGCGCCGCCCGCAGCAGCGCCCCAGCGACGGCGGCTGCCAACGCCATCGCCGCACGCGCAGCGGCCGTCGGCGCGCGCCGCGCCGCGCCGCGCCGGGCGCGCGCGCGCGCGGCGCTGCGCTGCGCTGCGCGGCGCTGCGGGCGGCGTCGTCGTCGTCGTCGTCGTCGTCGTCGTCGTCGCCGTCGTCGTCGTCGTCGTCGTCGTCGTCGTCGTCGTCGTCGTCGTCGTCGTCGTCGTCGTCGTTGTCGTCGTCGTTGTCGTCGTCGGCGGTGGGCGGCGCAGCTGCGCGCGGCGCGGGCGGCGGCGCGAGCGGCAGCGGCGGCGGCGTGCACAGCCAGCTCCTGCGGCTCGGGCCGCCCTCGATCCGCTGCGGCCCGACGGGTGCCGTCCACCCGAGGCTGGCGCGGGACGCAGGCGGCCCAAATTCTGGCGGCAAGGGTGGGACGACGGGTGGGCTGCATTTTCGGGGACCTTGGGGAAACCAGAAAAGGTGCCGATACCGCTACTCCGGACCTCTAGAAGGGGTGCGTTCTGACCAGGGTTTCGAGGCGAATCCAGCGGTGGCGACGAGGGCTTCCCAGGAGGCCCACGAAGGGGAAAAAGCAAGGGAAGGGTAGCGGTATGGGTGCCGTTTCCCCCTCCGAGATCCCAGTCCTGTGCTCCAGCCAAATCGGCGGTGGACAAACCTCCCTTTAGTATACCTCCCCGTAGTGAAAACGGCCTGGGACCGAAACCGACGGACCTGGACCCGCAAAAATGACGACAGCGACGCCCTCTGGCGAACCGGAAACGGCCAATTCCTTAATCGACGTGTCAGGGTAGTAGGTCTGTCCACCCCCGACCAAAAGATCCCCGCCGTCCCAACTGCTCCTGCAGACCCAACTCGGGGGTCCGAGCAAGCCGCACACGCTGCCAGTCTCCAGGGCTCGTGGAGAGCATCTCGGCCGTACGTATCCCTCGAGGCTTCTATTCCCAAAGTGCTGAGCTCAGCCAGGTCGGTTATGACTACAATTCCCGCCCCCCTAATGTGGCAAGTCCCGACCTGAACCTGACCCAGGCCCTGTCGACACTGCGCCAAAGCTACCATGACCCATGAAAGCTAACGTGACCAACGGCTCGGCGGCACCAGTGCGTCACCCTCGCGCGCTGTAGCAAAGAATGCACCACAAACCCTGGAAGTCCTGGAAATCCCTGCCTCGAGTTTCTTGCGTGCCTCCGCCTCCCGGACACCCTCTCCCGCTCAGCCCTCGCTGCCGCCACTCCCTCCGCCATCCTCTCGCACTCCTCCCCCTCCTCCTCGGCCGCTAGAGGAACGGGAAAGGATGGGGGGAGGGACGGCGACTTTGAAGGGGCAGGAGGGGGGAGGAGCGTGATGAAAGTTGGTGTCGTGACGACTCCTGCGTTGGTTTTTCCTACACCGCGTGGATCGTTCAGTCTTGAAAGATCGGCGATTTTTCGATCGCCTTCTCGTTCCATGCCAGCTTGCTTCTTCTTAAATATGCTCTGGGCGTTTTTGTGTGCCGTGTTTAGCTCTGCGTGCTGGGCATATTGCTCTTGAAGCGCATGTTGGCAACAACAGTATATAATCTACAAACAATAAAATAACGATGTATTTTGAGCTCAGTTTCGTTTAGCGTTTTCAGATAAGCTGGTTGCGCTGTTCGACACTGCCGTCTACCACGTCTTCGAAGTATTTTGTCTTGCGTCCAGTCCTCCCTTGTCTTTTAAACTCATGTTGATCTTCTCTGGTCGTCGCTACTGACTGGTCGTGGGGCCTCTGGGCCTGTTCCGCAACGGTGTTAAACTGGTGTTAGGGCGTTTTTGTAATACGTGTTTAGCTCTGCGCTCTGCGCGCGGAGCGGGAGGCGGCAGGACCGGGAGAGGCGGAGCGAAGACGGCAATGAAGACAATGAGCAGCCCTTGACAAGAAAACACCAGAAACAAATCCACAGCGACGGGCCTGAAAACGCAGACACAAAACGCAACAAAACACTGTAAAGCATGTAGCGTTTCGGGGGGGCTGTTTCATCTGTCACGGGCACAAGTGCAGAACGATTAAAAAAAACGCCTGGGACGTTTGGAAGCATAACCAAGCATGTCAGCCGATTCTGGGCCACTGGCGGCGTTCAACCTTCCACGCCCGCGGCGGAGTCGACGCCGCGTCGACACGGCACGAACCTACCGTAGGCACACGGCGGGGGAGCCGAGTGGCGTGGCGCGCCACACGCGCGCGAAAGGTCTGGCGCGCGCGCGCGCGAGCCTCGCGCGCGTACGCCCGCGATCGGCGGCTAGGCGCTCAGGCGGAGGCTTTGAACTTCTCCAGTTCCTTCGCGACGCCAGCCGCGAAGTCGTTCTGCGGGGGGGCCCCTTCCCTCGCTCGCTCGCGCCCTCCTCCGCCTCACCCTCCCTGTCCAGAGCTTTATGGAGGTCTCCAGGGACCATCTTTCGCCTCCTGTTCCTGCTCCTGCTGCTCCTCCTCCTGGTCCTGCTGCTGCTCCTCCTCCTCCTCCTCCTCCTCCTCCATCTCCGCCCTTCACTCGGCGCGTCTTACAATGTGCTCGCTACTCCATATCCCGCTCTCCTGCCTCCTGATCCGGAGACCCTCTCTCCTCCTCCTCCTCCTCCTCCTCCTCCTCCTCCTCCTCCTCCTCCTCCGCCTCCTCCGCCTCCTCCTCCGTCTCCTCCTCCTCCTCCTCCGCCTCCTCCTCCTCTTCCATGCCAATTCCTTATACATAAGTCCTCCCTGTCGCACCCCGAGGCCGGTCGAGAAGGCTGGCCCGGCAGTTCGCCTAACACTTCTTCACCACGTATGATCCTGAAGCTGAAAATTTGTAAGAGCTTCAAGGAAAGAAGGCGGGCCGCTTTCAAAATGCGGCTTTCGCCCAAACTTCCATGCCAGTTCCTCTCACATAAGTCCTCCCTGTCGCACCCCGAGGCCGGTCGAGAAGGCGAGCCCGGCGGTTCGCCTGACACTTCTTCCCCATGTATGATCCTGAAGCTGAACATTTGCAACGGCTTCAAGGATAGAGGGCGGGCCGCTTTCAAAATGTGGTTTTCGCCCACAAACGCCGCGCACATTCGTCTTCAAAAGTTGCAAGAGTTTCACAGATGAGGGCGGGCGGTTTTCGAAATGCTGCTCTCGCCGTAGCGCCGCGCACATTCGCCTTAAAAACTCCCTCAGCGCCGCGCGCATCCGTCTTCAGAGCGTACAAGAAAGATGTTTTGGCAAGATTTAGGAGTGTCAGGTCGCAACAGTCAAAGTGATTCGATGTGTTGAAATCCTAGGAATGGTGTTATGGTGCGCGTCGGGATCGTCAATGCGCACCAGTAGCGGTGATTTGCGACGCTGAAATTCCAGCAATGCGTCCAGGTACAATTCGGGAATTCTAAACCTGTATCTTCCAAAGGGTACTTCGCTCAGTGAGAGTGAGCCCTTGTAGGGACCTACGAAGAGGGAATTTGGAGGAAGAGTTGATTGCAAAACCGTTGACGAAACTTGGGGTTACAATGGTCCTCTTCCTCCTGCCCATCTGCCCTTCGAGTCCTCCTTCCCGTTTCCCCCTGCAATGTAACAAACTGTCGTCACAAACAACTGATGGCGACATGGGGCGTACGTGTGGGAGGTCGCCTGGGCCAGCAGGGAGGGGGGGAGGGGGGAAGCAGCGGGGCGGGAAGGATGAGGGATGACAGGGGACGAGGGGCACAAGTATAATAAGGATCGACGGTAACTGAAGCGCTGCAGGTTATCCGAGTCTAGCAGTTAGTTAGTATAATGAAGATCGAAGGCACGCGCTGCACACAACTGGGCGTCCGAAAGCTGGTCCTCATGGGTCCCCACAACTTCGGCTTCACGAAACACTTGGAATGTCGCCTGGCACATGTACTCGTGGCAACAGTGCGGGGAAAGTCCATGGATTGGAGGGGAGACAGAAGCCCACGGAGGAGAGGGCAAGAGAAGCAGTGATGAATGGTATCGGGCTGGGAGCACGACAGGGCAGTTGACAATGCCATCCGAAATTGATACGATGGTCGGTGGTCCAACGGCCCGCGAGGGTCGTGAAGATCGGGCGCGCGTTGTCCTCGCCGCTCGCCCAACCCGCCGACTAGTAATGTTCTAAGTCCCCGGGATTGGATGCGCCGGACTACAGCGAATTGCAGCAAGGGTTTGGGTAGAGGCGCGTGGAGGGTGGAGGAAAATGCGCGCTGAACTTGGGGTTCTTGCCAGCCGCGGCAGCTGCAATAATCTCCAAGCTGAATGAAGCATGAAAGACGTTCCACGTCGCTTTCGGGATCCCCAGCAACGGTGGGCGTTGCAACAGATTCTGCAAACGCTGCGCTATGCCTGCGGCTTGCATCTTGCATGCCGCACTCTGTTCGCCGCGCGGCACTTCACAACCATTGGCGTCTGTGCCAATATTTCGCGCCACCCGTCAAGCTCGGTTGCCCCATTAGCGATGGCATGATTAGCGCAGTGCCACTCACTGGCAATTCCAAACAGCAGGGCACAACACGGGGCTACCATGCCGAGACCAACGAAAAAACTGACCATTGTTTTTCGAAAAGGTGCCGGGCGGGAGCCCGAGAGCACTTTGCCAATGGCAGAACTGTTGCAGGACCGTTGGGCCCATGAGGAAAACACTGCGAAAGATAGCTGAACACAGAAAGCGCGATGCAACTGCACAAGGGCAGGCTGATTTTAGTCGGGCTGTCAGAGGCAGGGATTGGCAGGGATTGCAGACGAGTGCGCCCACCGCTTCTGCGCAGCCTCGGTCCAGGCGGTGAGCCAAGTGGCTCCTGGCCCGAGCTGATCTCCTAGGCATTTGGCACGGGGGCGCTTGCAAAGCCCTGCCGCGCGGGAATGGTTCGCGCAGCTACATCTGCATGCGATTGTGGACATCGCCTGCGCTCCGCACGCAGCGGCGCAAGTTCCTTTTCGAGGTTCGCAGCCGAAGCCTGGTGGGGCTGGCCGCCGCCTTTGCCTCCCTCCTCGGCCCCTCCTGGCTTCTCCGCGGCCTGTGCCCTCTGCCTCCTCCTCCTCCTCTTCCTCCTCCGCCGCCTCCTCCTCCCTCCTGCGCGCGCAGTAGGCGCTCATGAGAT